CGAAGTTTCAACTTCAAGCGGCCTAATCGATAGCCAATCATATGTTTTAGTCTGCTTGGATTATAACTTGTCAAGGTTGTAAATATTGGAACAAAAGGCCTGGTAAGCTAATCGATAAAAGTTGAATCAATATCAAATATATTGCACTGTTTTTTTATACGTAATAATACGTACAACATCATAGATGTCATAATGATGTCATATATGATGAAACCAATTAAACGATTATATAAAAGCATGACAGTTTAATGCTAAAAAAAATCATTGATCAGATTATTTTATGAGTGTTGCCAAGTGAAAACCCGGAAATCTAAAAATAGATCACTTAGGAATTTCATAAGTGATCTATTTTTAGATTTCCGGTTTTCATTTGGCGACACCCATATCATCTTGGAGTACCATTTTAGAATTTTATAGATTATTAATAGAATTTTACAGAATTTAAAAGAATTTAGAGGAATATTTAGTATAATGTCATATTTACATCGGTATACGGAATACGGAACATGTCCAGGGAAATGGTATAGAATTGAATGGAAATGACAATATAGAATTGAATGGAAAAATAGCAATATAGAATTGAGTAGAATGACAATAGAATTGAATGGAAATAACATAGAATTGATCAAGAGCTTAACCATTTCTTTATAGGTTCCATATCATTTCCTTGGGGATATCCCATAATGCGGTGTTTGCGGTGAATTCCGTATTTAATTTGGCGTTATACACAATACATCGTATGATTCATTTAGATTCTGTAAATTTCTATTGGATTTTGCATTGCTTTTTTTTATAGGGAAAGGTTGCTGTTACTAGGATGATTTAACCCAAATCAAAGCAAGATACTTACATATTGTACGTACCGATCTTTTCTGATCATAATTATTAGGTATTCAATTGAATATATTAAAAAAAAAAAAAAAAGACGCAATCATTTTTAGCCCTTTGCATGTATTAAATTAGAAATTCAAACGGCTTGACCCGATTCGTGTATTAATTATAATAAAAACCGAATAGATAATAGCGCATTTTATCCCTAATTGAGATGTGGTGAGAATTTTTTTCGCGTTCCCGCGACTTAATTTTCGGCAATTATCCGTTAGTTCTGTCGTGTAAATAAAATAGTCAAAGACATTTCTACAATATTATAAAAAAATACTATTGTTGATTTACATAAAAATACGCGTATTTTAAAGTAGGTTTTGAATGAAAAGCAAATATGTATTTATATATAGTATGTGCACTGCAATATAAGCGCACGTTTAACTTATAGACCTTATTACGGAGGAAGAATCCATTAATTTAGGCTTTTTTTTTTTTTTATTAACAGTTCAAATAATTGATATTAGAATAATATCATTGAGAAAACATTCAAAGATTGGTATGTACTATAAATATAACCGCAGTATGAGTTTCTCGTTATACAGTGATCGACAAGGTATTATAAGTGCGTACCCGAATATTTTTTGCTCTTGTAACTCCTCTATTCCTGATTATTAAGCAGGAGAGTTAAAAAAAAGTATTGTTTAAATGAAATACATTAAAAATGGGCCCAATGTATATAATGCAGTAATTGTGATTGGCGCCTAGAATAAATAAAGTCTTGGACCGTCAGTTAATATATTGACGTGTCGTAGATCGCCAATGATTACACCAATCAAAATTGCCACATTCAAAATTTCAATTCTTTAAGCACATATGCACATACATATGTATGTATGTGCATACGAATAACAAACATAAATACAACAATTCTAAACTTATTAGCTTAATAAAATATTGAATAAAAATTCTATATACATAATTCACGCGTATTAATCAATGTCATAAATTTGGTAAAAGCTTTATAATCCATTATAGGGTAACAAGTTATTTATTTACCAAGCAGAAAAAAAATATGCATTTGTACTCTGTGATGTACTACTTTCGAATGAAAATTTCATTAATGATTCTTTGCAAAAATTCCAATTTATAAATCCAAATGAAAAAGTTTCCCCAAGAAAATCTCATATCTATCGAATGATAAAATCAAATATCTCTAAATGTAAATTTTGTTTTTTTTTACAAAAATTTTCTAGCTCCTTGTTCTTCTTCTCTTCACTGTTCCGACAGTATTAGTTATTGACCTTTTTTGTTTCAACCTTTTGACATCATATGGGATTGAGGTATTAATTAATTGGAGAATCGTATCAGGACTATTGTCCGGTATTAAATCATAAATTCTAAATCCCGTATAATAATCATCATCTGAGCTAGTAGCCACATCCATCTCTTCGTCCTCTAAATCTCCTGCCTCAAGTTCAGACCCAGATTCTTCCGAAGAACCAATTTCCATTACATTTTTAATAACAGGTGAACAAAAGGTTTCTGAAACATAAACAATATTCAAACTTTCTTCAACATCAGATTGAGAATCTTTATGTTTTTGTGGTTCCAACATAGGTTTTCCTAAATCTATTTCTTCCAAATCTGACATGTCACTTCCTACTTCTATATCTAATGAGGAAGTGGGAGACAACGCATTTACATCATTATAAAATGAATGAGTGGCATGATTGAAATGATACGGCGTTTCGTCGTCGTCGTCGTCTAGAATAGTAATAATTTCCGGCATATGAGTTCCATCTGAGCTACCAATTATTTTTTGCGTACTAATATTTTCATTTCTTTCACTCTTGTCTTCCAGATCAGAAGGATGTTCGCGGTCGATCGAAATTCTCGATGCACGTTCATTCGATTCGGCTTGAATTTCTTGACAAGAATCTTTATTGTTTGTTGTTCTAATAAGTGGTGTAATTGGTCTATTAACAACCGTCTTTGCTAACGATGTTTTGTTAAAATTAGGTGTAAGGCTGGTGGAAGAAATAGCTGGAATCTTTCTGATGTTTTCTGAAATTTTAGTAGGATTACTTGGTTTTTGTGTTATATAAACGTCATCAGTCCTATATTTGGGAAACCTTGGGTTGATCACAGAGCGTTCTACTGTTGATCCATCTGGCAATTCTTCATAAACTATTAAATACATTGGTAAGGGTTGCTGCCGTCGATGTGGTTTTAAAAGGGACGTAGAACCCATTGGAATCGATTTTTGAGGTGCGGTGGACTGAGAAATTTTTAGTCGTTTATTGGATAATTCGTTAATCGGATCTTTAGATTGATTTTTGGATGACATCTTTACTAAACTGTATGTATTATAATAAAAAAAGTTTTTAAAAGAATTTTGAGTTGATAGAAGTTTAGACTTCTACTGTTTGTATGCGTATATTGCGACTAGATGGTTAGTGAACATCTATCTATCACAAAAATTTGTAAAGAATTGTAAATGATTTATATAAAATTGAAGGTTGTAAAAAGGTTTGATTTGCAAAATAAATTATGCAAGCATTAAAATTTAATAAAAGACAAATATTTATCACAGGATAAAAAAAAAATAATAATAACACAAAAGCAAGTAATTTTTACAGAAAGTTTTTATAGTTCGGAAGAAAAATGTACGTAAGGAATAAAAAACTTACTAGTTTCGATGTTTTTTATACAAGAGCAAAATATTTTCACTAATATCAAAAGAACTAAAGACCAGTAATATGTTACTTTTTGTATAATAAGTGTTTATCTTTGTCTTTTTTCGAAGCAGCAAGCTGCCATAAAATTTATCTAGGAAACTTATCAAGAAACTCTAGTTAACAAGAGTGAAAGAAACGATATTTGCGTGCCAGAGTGTGAACGTCGAGAAAGTAAAAGGGGTGAGCACCAGAAGAACATCGGATCCTATTATTTATTTATTTGTACTCATATCATCTATATTGGGTATGGACCTACAACCATAACACAATACGTAGTGGTATATTTGTATTTATGCGAATGGATGAAGAATTACAGCGAATCAACCTCGAATATAAGAGTCTCCTGAATTTTTTAGCCAATAAAATTGTGAGTTGTTATTTTCGTGAGAGCCAATCATTGGTTTGTTTTCTTCTACGTCATGCTACCAAATTTTAAATCACTTGACCATACTGGTATATTATTGTCTAGAATATTGTAAAATAGCTATAAAAAAGATTCCTTTCTCCATTCATTTTCAATGTAGGTTTCATAAAAATAAAATTTTGTTGGTTATCTGGATACTGAAATTTTAAAAATCTAATTTTGTAAATATTCAATCTTAATATATATAGATTAGCTTGATGTAATTCCTCTAAATAATAACTGTTGAACAGTTTGTATTAAATTCAAATTCTTTTACCTTTATTTTTTTAAAAATTCAATTTTTTATTTTATTTATTTTATTTAATTTATCGTTTTTGTCAATACAGACTTTGAAGCTCTGTTTTAAATTTATACTACGAAGTAGACACAAAAAGATTGCCAAAAATTGTAAATTAGACTATAAGTCGCGCCACAGGTCATGCCATAAGTCACGATACCAATGCCTTGAACGCGTTACGACAAGCAATTGGGCTATTCCTAGGTATAAAAAAAAAAAAAAATCATTTTTCTTTCGTTTCATGTTCTAATACACATTTTGCGAGTCATAGCCATTGTTATTACTCATCAGAACCGTGACCTTTGAGTATAAGAATTTGCTTAACTAATCGTGGATTTTTAACATTTCCCACAATTCTATTTTTCCACAGTCATCTAGTGTCCCAAAATTGTTTTGAAAGATACATAAAATGATGCTTACATGCTTATGGTTTATACCTTACAAAACGCAATTGATTAAGCATGTGCTCAATTAGACATAACCTTTCATTTCGCAAGTACCATGTCAAAATTGTCCGATTTTTTCAATTCTAACTATGTCATGCTAACTTTCATTAACATAATTCAGAAAAATCAAGTCTATATCTCATTTTTCTTCAATCTGTCTAGGAATCTTTAATTTTGAGTTGCAATTCAAGGTAAAATTTTCGTATTAACCTAGGTACTTTGCTGAAACTACCAATTTAGCAACTTCAGAACTATTTTAAAATAACTATAAAGTAGCTAAATAGTTACTTTATAGTAACATTTACTATACGTTAGTAATACGCTTTCCACTACTTACTACTATTTTACTACTATAATTTTACTACAATTTACAAACATCGAAATTTCGATTTTTAAAATTTTTTTGTAATAGTGAAATAGTAGTAAAATAGTAAGCTTATTGCTAACGTATAGTAAATATTACTATAAAAGATAACTATATAGTTACTTTATAGTTATTTTAAAGTAATTCTAAAGTTGCTAAATTGGCATTTTCAGTAAAGCACTAACGAATAAAATATAAGTACCCACCCTTAAGATAAATATAACACTGATAATGCTATTTCAACAAGTAAAATAAGCTCTCACCTTAAACATATTGCCGCCTTCAGTCAAAAAAGAAACCATTCTTGGAAATTCAAGTTGGTAAGAACAAAAAGTCGAATATATTTTGAAATTTCTGAAATTTTGATCTTTTGTAAATGCAAAATTACATCATTTTAGCAAAGCAGACGTAATGTTGGTGTTATTATGCTGGTCTTTGCATTTGCCCATAATTCTTTGCAAAGTAATATCACGTGAATCCAACAAGCACGTGACATTTGGTTATCTAAGTTTTATCGCTGCATAATGATAATTACAAATCGATTATTAGAGTATACCCGATGCGTACGAACGCACGCATTTACAAAAATGATATCTCAAGTTGTACGTATGCATATTATAATTGTCGAGATTTTCATATATTTAATACGTATTATTAACTTAAAAAATTATTGAATATAAATTGTTGAATATAAAAAAATCTTGAAATTAATATATTTAATTTTAGAAAATAACTATTTGTACACAGGGTGTTTGAACACTGGTATGATCTACAATCAATTTTTATTAAAAATACAAGTAAAAAAAATAATTTTAATATTAGAGTTAGGGTTAGAGGTAAAAGATATAGTTTATAGTAAAATTTTGCAAGAAATTTTTTTCTTAGAGCATAAAAAGATTTAATTAGAATTAGTTAAGATTAAAGGTTATAGTAATAAATAAATAGAATAACAAAATAGTTAAATTAACTAAACAAGATACTGTAGTAGATAATATAGATAGTATTATCTTTAATCTCTTATTTAAATCAAACATTTACTATTTTAGAATAAAATATTTATTAAACATCTAACAAAACAAGTACCCAAAATATTACTAGATAAATAGACAACCAAAAGTTGTACATGTAGCTAGTTGTATTCTTCAAATATATATATAGTATAAAAATTATACTGTAAAAATTATAACTATAACTGAATAAAGAAACATAACAGAGAAGTTACCTTAACATTAAAAAAAAATATTACTAGACTTTAAGATAGGTGCAAGAGTTTCTCAGTGATTAGCCCAAGAGGCATTTTTTTGTTAATATGAAGGTTTGTGAAGGCTCGAATAAAGGTGTCTAAGTGGGAGTGAGGTATTTCTATTTTCCGTGAGGTTTCTTGTACCACTTGTGTGATTAGTGTTGTAAGATGTAGGTTGTTCCAAATGCAAGTTAGAAGGTGTGTGATGTCTTCAGGGCCATTAAGACATCTTGGACAGCAATAGTTTGGATACTTTGTAGCATTTCTCCAATAAAGGATGAGGTATATAGGTAGTTCTTCTGAGAGCAGTTTGATTTTGAAGTTTTTTAGTGCTGAGGAGAATGGTTTCATATTTAAAGCTAATAGTCTTTCACTATAGATGATGTATTGTAATATTTGTATCTAGTTGATATTCTTTTAGAAAACATGCCAGTTCATAATTCATTGTTGGTTAAACCATATGAGTTAGTTGTTAATTTGATATACTTGTTTTAGTGTAGTTTTTAGCAAATAGGTACAAGGGCTATCAAGAAGCCTTGGAATAAAGTGGTTGTATAGAAACTGCTGTGGTGCAGAGTCTAGTGGGAAGATAGTGTTTGTGGCTTCTTGAATTTTGGTATCTTTGTCGAAGGTAGCTGTAATTTTTCGGTTATAGGTTAGTGTTTTTAGTGTTAACAACAGATATGCATATTGTTGTTTATCCAATATAGAATAGTTGTGTGGTAGAACTGAGTGTGTGAAGTTGGCAAAGGAGAGATTGTTTGTATAGATCTTAATAGAGGTCTGCAGGTTTGTTGTCATTAGCATGAAGTTTAGCAAGGTAAGTAGTATATATATATATGAAGGCCAGAGATTAGTATAACAGCCAAATAGGGCATGGCCATATTGAAGATAACACTTTGCCACAATATGCTAGTTGTCTTCTACCCTTTGGCGGGTACTTGTTATAATAAGTGTCAGAGTCTTTGCATTAAAATTAGTTTTTGTAAGTGTGTACCAAAGTGAAGTAGAAGGATTTGTAAAGGCGCAAAGAGGTCTGGCCAAAGTTAAAATTGTTGTTGGGTTATGTGATGAAGATGCATAAGCAGATCTGAGAGTTAGTGCTTTTTTGAAGTCATTTAAATCAATGTAGATCCTTTTACTGTAGTCTACTTGTAAATTATAGAAAGGTTTTGTTGCATTGAAGTAGCAGTACTTAGAATAATAATGGTGATTTTTGAGACTACAGCCCTGACAAGCAGTTAGTGTATTATCTGGTTGTAGAATATAGTATCGAGTTTTGAGCGTTTTTTTTGTTAAATTGTATATTCTTCTAATTACGAGTTTGTTTATAATTATCCAGCCTTTTTTACTATGAGTCTAATTAGTTAAAGTGTAGGGGTTTAGTTGTAATGATACTGATGAGAGATTTGTGGAGTCTGCTATTAGGTCTTGAATTATATGAAACCAACATGGGCATCGGCCTCTAGGTATTTTCTTGATATTGTGATGAAAGTTATTCCACTCTAGAAGTTGGTATTATTTGCATTTAGGAATTGTTTGACACTGAAGACATTATGGTTATTTAGTTTTTCTTTGAGATATGAAGCTCTGGTGTGGTCTAGAAGG